GGAAAGATGAATGCGGTTTGTGCGTGCGTGCGTGCGTGCGTGCAAGCGTTGTAATACGAGGGTTGGCGAAAATGTAGTTAGATGATTGTGTAAGTAAGTACAGTGGTTGAGGATGTGGCAGGTATGAGTATTGATACATGCAGACGTGGGGTTGGGGACTTGGTGTGATGTAACAACCAATAATCTCCTGTAGGAAAGAGCTAAAAGCACGAATAAAGATCACGAGATGAAACTGATGTATACATCTGGACATAGATTTGCGTAGTATTACTATATGTATTTTGCGCAAAAGGATATTGTAGGATCGACGCTGACATGCACATATAACCTATTCACCAGTGCTGTAATATTTAATTCATTTGGCTTTTTCATATACATCGATAGGAACATGAAGAGTCTGTCTGAAGACATATAGAAATGCATAGGATCTTTTGGATAGTTGTACTTCACGGTAGACTAACGCTTAGTCTCTGAAAATATAGTATTTCGATTAAATCGAGATACTGTATTAAAATTTAAAAGGCGCCCCAGTGAGATGGTAATTTCAGCCTGAACCTGTTTAACATCTAGGCTTGTTTCATTTGGGGCTAAAGCATTACAGTGAGGCGGAAGGGAAAATAATCTGGTTCAGGGACTGTGAGACAAACTACTTCACGCTCTGTATCGCCGCCGTGACCTTTGAGCTATGAAATTTGAGCCATCTGAGACAGCGACACGACAGCTGTTTTCACCCATCAGATACCAGTCACTACTGTCACTACTTCTCTCTCCAAACGAAAAAGGATACGTAAAATGTCTGAAGTGTATATTTATAATCCTTCTAATTTACTATTTAGATACATGTTTTAACTTTAAAGTAATTATATGTATCTCATGTTCAAAAATGTATCATTGGTATCTGTGATGCTAGTACCGTTTTCTCGCCATTTTGAGTTATTATGAATACCAAATACATGTCCTGAAATATGAACTTGTAAAAGAGCTCCTCTCTGAACCGTATGCAGTCTAACCCATTTAATTGGCGTGTATGGATATTATCCATCTACTTATACACAGTTATTATGGACATATACAGAATTTCATGGTACCTTATTATTAAAAAATTACCCGTGAAGATCCGGGTTAGAATAGGCCTTCAACAACCCATGTTTGTTCGAAGGCGACTAACATAATCGGGTGGTCAGGCTCGCTGACTTGGTTGATGCAGGTCATCGTATCTCCAGTTGCGTAGATAGATGCTCTTGATGTCAATAACTGGATTGTCTGGCCCAGACTTGATTATTTACAAACCACCGTCATATAGCTGGTATATTGCTGAGTGCGGCATTTAACAACAAACAATCAAACCTAAACTATTATGAAACACCTTCCAACAATGAGAAATTAAACTTTTATTTTCTATATATTTAGTTTCATTTACAAAATATTTTGATCCATAGTTTAATCATTGCGTTGATTTCTTGTCTGTCATTCAATGCACATGTTTAAATCCCTCACTTTGAATATTAGATTTTTCACAAATGGTTACGTTAGTGAGTTGCCTCGATCTCTGGTTACCTACTCACACGATCAGATCAAAATAATGTGTTTGTACAATCATATTTCAGTTTATTTAATTCATAATACGAAATTGATAATTCATTTATCACAGTATGGTTCATATTCATTTATATCACTTTCTGATGTTAATGTTTTATTGCAGAAATTATAATGTAGGAAGATACACAATTTGCCATTATTTGAAATGCAATATTTCTAAACTTTTAAACTATATAAAGTATAATATAATGATTAGAATGCCTGTAACGGGCAGTGTTTAAGAAAGAAATATTAGTCGATTAGTCCCATTTTTCATATATTCCCTTCAGTAGTAGTATTGTATATCTCCAGATAGATGTTTACATTGTAGTTCTCATTATTTGTGGATAGTTAAAAAAAAACACCATAGAAAATATATATTCTACCATAACAAAAGAATACAGAGTATACAATAACTCGCAATTGTTCAAAAAGAGATTTCAAATCACAATAACATATCTGATATAAACAGACTTGTGTGAGGTGGTAATGCTTTAATCTCTACATTGTGCCCTTGTTCGTGAGCACTTGTTCTATTCAGCAAACAGCCCAAACCCGAAACTCCACAACATATCCGATAACACTGACCCAGCGGGATTCTCCCCACACGTCAGTTCTCCATGCGACACTGACGCCCTTGTATGTCTCCCAGACCATAGAGAATAAATTTGAAAGGAATTCAGCTCAAGTCTAGAACGATTTGACAAGCCTAGATTGCCTCCATTCTATCCATGAAAGTAAGCATTAATAGAAATTATTGTTCTTGGCTCCTTTAGAGTATATTTTGTAGAATTCACATTTTTAACTACGAAAATGTTACTGACGCCGGTAACGAGGTCACAGGTCAGGCGTTCACTCGTTAGTTGTCCGATACGTTGTCAAGTGTAAGATCTTCCGGACGACCACTGCACTAGAGACATGTAGATTGCTGATGAGGTACTACGTGTTTGGATCTGAGCGTTAAACACTAAGCACTTACAGACAAGAGCTTACAATAAAATGTTATGGACTCGCGGACGGACTTGTGTTCAATTCAAGACGTACATGTATCAGGTTGAACTTCTACGACAGATATAACTTGGTTACCGCTTCCTAATTGTAACATTAACTGAACTTTACGCCTTTTATACACATTTGTGATGAGGCAACAATGCGACGAGTTCTAATTAATAATTTATTTGTTCACTCTGATGTGAAAAGAATTTCCAAATAAAACATTATTTTCTCTTATTTATTTTATATTACTTCTGCCATGCGACCGGCGGCCTGTAAACCAACCCCACAGTCATGAAAAGTGATAGACCAGAAAATAAAATTTCAAGACAGCGCCTTTCCAAGTGAAATTGCCAGATAAACACATATCGGAAAAAATGAATTTGTGACGTCTCCAACAGCAGTATAGAAAGTGGAGCTCCCCCCGATTGTCGGTGTTTTACTAGTGTTCCCTTGCACAAATCATTCATAGCGCTACAGATTTAGAAACTCCATGTTTCAACATGGACTCTGAGCTCAGGATTAGTTGCATATATACCTGAAATACGTGAGAAAAGTATCCATTACTCAGATCCCCCTAAAATGTATCAACGCTATGCGTAAGTAAGCAATCGGGTAGCCAAGTGGTTAAAGCGTTCGTTCGTCACGCCGAAAACCCGGGTTCGATTCCCGACATGGGTACAATGTGTGAAGCCCATTTCTGGTGTCCCCGCCGTGATATTGCTCGAATATAGCTAAAAGCGGCGTAAAACCAATGAGTGAACCATTCTTAAGAAATAATTCACTCACTCACTTTTAAGTTTGCGTCCTGGAATGGCTTTACAGTAAATGTATTTTCTGACTGAGTTCAAGCATCCCCTGCACATGCTGACAAACAAGCCTGTACTGCAGTAACGTTAAAGCACTGTCATCGCGCCGATTGCAACTTAGATATGAATATTGCTGTTGTGAGCCTATGCGACATGACAACACGTTGAAAGACGCAATTATGTAGTCACCTGAAACAGCATTTTATGAAGAATTATTTCTTAAGAAAGGTACACTCAGTGGTTACCCAATAGATTGAGGGAGTAAAACATATTGCAAACCAAAATAAAATTATGAAAACTCAAGTTAATGGCGAATTGTGATTAAATTCTCATGATCAGATATCCTTCATAGTCAATTCTCAATACTGTGTCTGAGTGTGGTATTCATGTTAAACTGTGCTGTATCTCAGCGACGTTAAACCCAATTTCACCTCACCTCAGACCAAGACATAATTAACCAGCATTGCAAATGTCGTGATCGGAAACAGTAAATATATAGAAGACAGAATATTAGTCACCTAATAGGAGCCCTAAGCTAATTGGTCAATGAGAAACAGAGTTATGTAAGTTTAAGGGCACATGCTTTCAAGACTGATCATTGATAATTGACTGAGAATTCTCAATTCTCTTCAGCCTTATCGTCTCAATTCCCTCCAGCCTTATCGTCCGTTTAGATCTATGTATAAAGGTCCAGAGTGACAGGAGGATGTCTAAAGCATTTCAATAGTCCTCCTTCCCTTCATGTGGTCAATATTACAGCAGTTCCAGCATTTGGTGTCTGCATTTAGTAACTTTGGAGGTACAATCGAGCATGGCCTTTCTATGAAAATTTCAAAGAGCGTCAAATTTATAGGGGGTGGTGCAGAGCAGGGGACCCACCCTTTTAAAGCATACTTATTATGTTGACGTATAAAAAACAACATATAACCGATTCATTTGACGTCATGTTTCGACAAAAATATCAAGGTTGACAATCTAATTTTATCCATTGAGCCTATGAAGTGAGTGAGTGAGTTAGTTGGATTTAACGCCGCTTTTAACAGTATTACAGTTATATCACGGCGTGTCAGCTTAATGTGGGAGGAAAGCCCGAAGTGATGCAGGTCTCAGACGTTTACCACTTTGGTGAAACCCACGAGCACGGGCATGGTGCTGACAAACCTAGAAACATAATCGGGGCGAACCGGGATTCGAACCCACAATCATAGGTTTTTTGGCGTGCCCAAGGGACGCAACTCTGCACAGCGAATCGCGGCGCCTTAGGCGACTGGGCCACCCGTGTCCCCTGATCGAGTATAACTATTTCACAACAAAATATGATTTAAAGTTTCTATTTCCTTCCATTTCACCCATTTGAGCAAAGCTGCTTTATAAAAGAAACCATACAAATATAGAGGTAACGATCAAACAGTGTTCACATATCCCGGAGTCTACATGGATGCTGAGTTTCTTTGATGATCTGCGTCACCCGCTGATACTGCATAATCAGCTCAGGAGTTCATAGCAAAGTGAAAATCTCCTGAACCGTGAGGGTTTTATTTCAGAAAAGTTTGAAACATACGCATCGTAATAACAGTAAGAAAGGGGACTCGTTACAATAGGAGTATAAATTGCAGTTACCGTTAGCAGCACTGTTTAGTGTTGACTCAGTTCGTGAAACCCTTCGTGGAATGTCCTACTTCGGCTGAGCTAACACGTCGTATATTTATCGCGAGGCGGCTGGTCCACTTGTAATCAAAATGGCTGAATGCAAGAAACACCATCAAAACAACTTCCTGCACATCACGACTGGCGCACATCGAACAGGGCATGGGTTAACCACTGTGTTCAGTGAGATAAGTATCAGTGTTATGACCACTGTGCTACCACAGCATACCACCACGCTACTGCATTTAGGGGGAACCCTGACATATTTTTTTTATCCTTTAGCTGTATTTTGATATTCAAAACAATATATTCTTTTAATGAGTGATTCATTTGTGTTTTAACGCCGAATTGAACCATATTACAGTTATATCACGGCGTTCCAGCTTAACATGGGAGGAAATCCCGAAGTGATGCAGGTCTCACACCTTTATCACTTCAGTGATGCCCACGAATACGGGTAAGGAGCTGACAAACCCAGAAACATAATCACGACGCACCGAGATTCGAACCCTCGATCATAGATTTCTGGCGATTTGTGGCGCCTCAGACGACTGGGCCATCCGTGCCCCCCTGCTTATGAGAAAGAGAAAGCACAGATGCGACTTAAAATGTCTCAAGAAATACAAATTGAAATAGTTAAAAAATATATTAGAATGTCACAATTATGATGAATAGTTACGAATGCATGTGTGATATCTAAAAATAGCTTCATTGGTTTGTGTGAATTTGGTGAGTATGATTTTAATCATCCAGACGACTTTACAACACTAACATCGCTCTCCGTCTTCTCGTGACGTGTTCGAAACACGCCAGTGGTGTCCCAATTCTAAGGGAACTAAAGTTCAGGGCCAACACCCAACAGCCAATGTCGAGTCGCACTTCTTGTCGCTCCGAACGCCAGCAGCATGAAAAAGTTATTCTTAGAATTTTCTTTCTCGAAAAGCAATAGGTTTTTTTATCGAAATAATGTTCACCATACAGCGGCTTGTGCCGGGATGAAACGAATGGTCACTAATAGTCACGAATGGCACGGGATGTGAATGTCTGAGCCGGTGTCCTGGTATAAACTCCTGGTATAAACTCCCTCGTACAAATTCTCCCCCCGGAGATTTTATACCGGTACAGATTCTCCCCCGGAGACTCTGTTCTGAAATAAAATCTCCCCCGGGCGGATATATTTCGCGCCCCCCTCAGTATAAAGTCTCCCCCCTGATTATTCGGTTTGTTGCAATGTCTTTAAGTACTATATTCTTTAAATAGTTATCTTTAATGTAAGGAGGGTTACATTAAAAAATATATTATGAAATATATATATGGTCATACTGAATTGATATTTCAGCATATTTTATTTGGTAACAGTACCTTCCATCCTAAAATAATTATAAGACATAATCATACCAAACAAAGGATGGGAGACAAGAGTCTCTACAGAGTTTGTTGTTTCTAATACAGTTGTTGTTGTCTGTATACACGTTTTTAGATTACCAGTTTGAGTCTACATGTGAGGTGAGGTGATGTGAAATGGGGTTTAATGTCGCGTCCAAGATTATTGCACTTATACGTACGTGTGTGTGTTTGTGTGGCTGCCTGTACTCGTCCGGACTGATGCCGATTTAAAGTGCTAGCTCACTGAGATACCATGCCGCAGTTTAACATGAATACCCCACTCAGACACAGTATACTGACCCCGAGCCGACCAGTCCTTGTTTTAGCCCCTTAATGCCGAGCGCCAGACAGGGTGACAACAAGTACCATCTTTTAACGTCTTTTGGTATGACGCGGCCGTGGATCGAACCCTGGACCTTCCGCTCTCCGGGCGGACGCTCTACCACTAGACCACGAAGGCGGTCTTTCTACATGTGAACACAATCGATGGTTGAAATGTTAGTCTAAGAACAAAACATGAACTAATTCTCAAGAACTTTGATGCATAAAGTTACCTTTATCTTTGATTGATTGATGTATTTTCAATCTTTATTCAGCACTGAAGAGGCCAAAGGCCTATCGTACGAAGCATTAAGTTTATGAATAATCAGCATTGATTTTGACTCCATAAACTGTCATTAAGTATTCATAAAGTATCAGGGGTCATTTCAACTTGCAAAATGATTGACATAGTCCCTTATAGAGCGTGGATTGGGCTGTTTTCCCACCCGATTGACTGATATTACAACATTCACATGGTTTAGAATGGTACAATGAATGGTAAAGCATGCAAATTACACTAATACGCGATATTTCATAAGAAAATATCAAATCTCCGGTGAAACATAAAACCAATATTTATGAGTCTTTATATGTAACGACTAGTATTATATCTACCTATATACCACTTTATGGTCTTATATTGCGGTAGTTAAAGAAAACACAGTGCTTAAAGTGAATTCATTTTCACTCCACATTCTCAACATTGTCTTTATCAGAAGTGTTTGGCAACTTTTGAACTGCATGGCAAGTATTTATAAAACGACCTGGGGAGGAATTATTCTGGGGGCGAATATATTTCGTGACACCGGCAAGTTATATATTCCTTTAGAGTGAGTGATTGATTTGGGTTGACCGCCGCTTTGAATAGTTTTCCGTTTATATCACGGCATGTCAGCATAACGTGAGAAGGATTTATTGCTGCTAATACATGGTTGCCTTTTTTTAATATGAGTCTAATCCTGTGTATTTCCATATATTTTGTTTGTTGTTCATTGCTCTTCTGTGGTTATTTACTGATTTTTTAAACAATATTTATTTCCTCTTGGTACATTGAAAAGGGATTGATGAACAGGCAGAGTCTATAATAAATATCTCTCCCCATCAAAATTCAGTGCATGTTTAGACAAATCGTGTGTTCACAGAGAAGAAATGATTACAGAGTCAACGATATGAAGCAGCAGTATTTCCTTGCCTAGGTTGACGTTGCCGAACAGGACGGTTCGAAGGTCAAATCCATTAACATAATAATAGCTTTCAGATCTAATCTCTATGTAATCTGGACAAGTTATTAGGTAGTGTAATGCACTTTCACTGAAAAAAACCCACATGAACATTCAGCATTATCGCCAACAAATCTTTCAAATTTGTGACCATTCTGATCACTGCATCCTAGTTTTAACTTTTAAATTATCTCATTTACGCGTAAACCAATATTTTTTAATATGTCGGGCACTTCTCATTTATAGCAATTATAAAGTGAATCTTAAAAAACCCTGAGATACTGAAGCTTCAATATTGCCACGCCAAGGCCAATCACTTTGTAAAGTTAGCCCAAGGTGTTTGTGGCTATTAGCATTCTTTATTTTTACATTGTTCATGAACAAATCAGGTAGGACAGTGACGTTCCGTTTTCTTGAAAATTTAATTGCTTCTGTTTGAATTCATCTTCCCAAGGCAAGTGAGTTAACTGACTATAAAAGTCCAGTTTCCACCCTTGCCGAACTAGGCTGGTATTATGGAGTTACATTTTGGCTTGACTAACGAGTCTATGCATAGTCCAATCAAAATCGCGCACCGAAATCGAAATCCGGTTCGTAAAGTGTCATGCAGATTTCGGTCGACTGCAAGATTTGCAAAGCATGTGCACCGCTAACTCGTTGTCAAGAGATATTTTCTAAATCTTTTCATGTTTTTAATCAAGGTGCTCACGAGATTTAATGCACTTCGCGATGTAAGACTCGTTTTATCACAATATAGATCTTGATTATCGATCAGATCGTCTTGACTGGGCGCCACCGTTTTGTTTGAAGCAAATGCAAAGATACGAGAGGTTGAATCTGATTGGTCAATAGGAGAGGCATAGAAAGGACATAACTCGTAAATAGCCACTGGTGGCGCTACGATCGAGCCCAGTAATTCAAGCCAAGTTCGGCAAGGTTGGAAACTTGACTTTTAAAGTCAGTTAACTCACTTGCCTCGGGAAGATGGTTTGAATTGTGAAGATTGCAATAATGCGGATATGCTTTCGGATTTTATATCGGAAGATGAAGTGAGACAGGGAAATCATGAGAACCGCGTACAGCCCCAGTACTAGCTGGGTTGCCAGCGGAGTTTAATAAGAATGCTTTGCACTTTCTTCCACAGACACATCTATTGTTTAATTCTATTTTGGGTACTGGAATTTTCCCAAATTCATGGAATGTTGGCATTATATTGCCGTTTTTTAAGAAGAGGGACACGTCTGATCCTAAAATTACAGGGTCATTTCACTGTTAAATATAACTGGTTGGAAGTAACGAAGTTATAACAGAAGCCCAAGCTAGTTTCAGACACGATCATTCGACTAGCGATAATATCTTTGTTTGAAATTACAGTCTTTAGCGCAAAAATATCTTCGAAAGTTAATTCATCGTTTTTGTGCTGCATTAATGAATTCCGAAAAGCTTTAGAATCTGTTGATATGACTAAATTATCATGCTTACTTTGACAGAAAGAAAAACATGGCACAATGTTCAAAGTAAATATATATCAAAATGTTTGTTCGTATGGGAAATGTTCAAACTGATGCATTTCAGACTTCCAGCGGAGTCCGACAGGGCTGTATGTTCCATCCACTGTTATTAATAAAAAAAAATGTAATCCGATTTGCGTATGGATATGGACGTATTTGCATTGACGTGCCCCGCAATACTAGAGATGATGTGTGTAAGGAATACGGGAGGGATCTTGTACGTTTGCTGTACATATTGTAAATGGACGATTTGCTGGGGATAAGGACGGATCATTTGATTGTTTAAGGAGGGTGGCGCTAGTTTGTTTGATTATGTACTATGCACAACTAGTATATTTGACACCATTTCCAAATTTGGCATACATACTTGCTGTGAATCAGATCACTTTCCTATCATACTTACCCTCCATGGATGTGATAGACAGGTCGATAATGTTAATGAAATGTATTTTAATATTTATTCCTTGATAAACATGGAAAAATTAAATATGTGATGCCTTTAAACATAATGTTTCTGAGTCATTGTCTGCACTTCACGTGGATAAGTTTATTCATTTATTGTCTTTGAATGTTGATTTAGCTGTTGATGCTTTGACAAATGCAGCACATAACGCACTAGTGGAGATAGAAAAATCATTCTAGAAAAAGACTCACTCACTCACTTAATGATGATATTACACAGGAAGAGATCGAATCAT